TGGCATCTTAGCGTTTTTGAGGGTTGCAGAGATTTCAGATCTTGCTACGTCTGCAGCGATGTGACTCAAGCCCTTGAGCGCTACATCTACTCGAGCAATTATATAATTAACTGGTATGTGTCTAGGTGTGACTGCAAAGTTTAGTCCTTTAGTTAAAACGGATTTCAGACCTTCAGAAATAGTACTGTTACTGCGATTATTTTACGACTTTGTTAACATCTAGCTTTTCAATGTGTGGGTCCGGTTTCTTGTTTGAGAGGCGGTTGAATTTGGAAATCAAGTTTTCCTTACATTTAGTCGACATAGCGGCAGCTGAAGAGGCAGTCATTTTTTCTACATGTTTCCAATCCGATGTGGACATTGTTGCACTCAAAGATAAGTGTGATTTGTAGAGTGTCTTGTCTAACTGATCTAGTTCGGTGCGCGTAAGTCTGATTTTCTCTGAGATAAGAGCTAAGCTAGTTCTAGACAGAATTAGTTTCGCATTAGAAGAAGTTACAGCAGCAGATGTTAGTGTAAATGCGTTTGGTATTACCTTAGAGTCGCGGCATCTCTTCAGAAAGGTGAGAGACTCGATTAGCTGAGCCTTCTTATCACGGAGCTTGTTGAAGGATCTCAAAGTTATGTGGAAACCCTCCCCGTAGAGGCGGTTAAATTTCGATTTAAAGCTTTCGTGACTGCAGGGATTCATCTTCTTGGTTCTTTCGGTAAAGTCACGTAGAAGGGAAGTAATAAAATAATAAAAATAAAACATAATAAAATAAAATAATTCTCACGACGTTTCGGCTACAACGCAAGCAGCCGTCTTCAGGTGAAGAATGAGACACTACCAAGCTAGGAGCTTATATATAAGCTGGGTTGGAGGTGGAAGAGCGCCTTAACAAAAAGAATGTGCATATGAAGAGGAATTTAGCATATTCATGGGAAATGCGTAGGAGGTGGGTGGGGGGGTTTCATAGTCATATTATGCCCATTCATTATGCAGGATCAGCAGCACCAAGGGAGGGTGCAGGGAGTAGCATTAACAAAGGAAAGGAATGTTAATAGTATGTAGCTGCAGTTACTAAACAACCACGTAGAAAACTAAAGTATAAACTACATAAAAAACTAAAGTATAAACTGCATAGCACCATCAGTATACTTACTATACTCTACAATAAGCTGAGTTACTAACAGCAAGTAATACATTACAATTCTACGTCGTAAAGATTATATAATATGCTTCCATCTAAACTTTATTCTCTTACATCACACGAGCATACACCGTACTATATACTGCCATAGATAAACCCAACATTAAATTATATACTGTATTGCTATAAACCACATTATACATTTTAATATAACACTATGTATTATTCTACCCACCCTAATGTGTATCACACTGCTATATGTTTACTATACAATTACGATAATATATATTACTTTGTACATTGTATATAAATGTTCTACTATTTGTTATTATACGCTGTACCATTGATCGTCGTGTCAATGGGTGAGTCGTGGGGGGAAAACTTGCAGCGGAGCAAAGAATCCATTCCCTGCGGAGAATACAATGCCAGTGAGTGGAACGCAGTCTGAAAGTCACCGTAAACGTGAACATAATCAGTTAAGATCCGAAATGGTTTATTACGTCCTTCCAATGATTGCTAAGCCAGAATCCATCTTCTCGGTTGAAATTGTCTCCGTGTTTGTATATGTGGATCGCCTGATGAACGAATCTCTCATGGTAGCCAGATGGCTTGCAGAGAACCTCTGTCTTGGAGAAGTCAATATCATGTGAGCCCACTGAATTGTAACAGTGATCTGCCACGGCTGAGGTGTTTGTCCTACCGTGTTTTAAGTCTGCTTTATGTTCACGGATGCGGTCCGAGACATGTCGTTTGGTTTCTCCAATGTAACTGCTACCACAGAGGCAACTTAGTTTGTAGACGCCAGGGTACTGTATGTCTGGAACCACATCTTTTACAGACGGGACCAGATCACGGATTTTATGTACTGTGTTGAATCGGACCTGGATCTTGTGTTTAATCAGGATTTTGGAGATCTTTTTTGTGACCCCAGCAATGTAGGGTAAGGTGATGGTCTTGAAAGGCTCCTCAACAGGATCCTTCTTGATGATTGGAGTGATGGCTTTGCGGATTGTGTAGTCGGAGTAACCATTAGCCTTAAGAGCTTTGCGTACGTGTTTGAGTTCACTGGCAATGTGTTCCTGGTCGGATATGCATTGGGCTCTATGGTATAGAGTCTTGATGAGGGAATTCTTCTGGGATGGATGGTGGTGGGAATCAGGTTTTAGGTAAGCATCCGTATGGGTGGCTTTCCTGTAGACAGAGTGGCTCATTGAACCATCAGGTCTCCTTTTGATTAGGACATCCAAAAAGGGTAGCTTGCCATCTTTTTCGACTTCCATGGTGAATCTGATGGCTGGGTGTATGGAATTGATGTGGTCGAGAAATTGGTCTAGAGCAGGCCGGCCATGTGGCCAGATGACAAAAGTGTCGTCTACGTACCTCTTCCATAAGGTCGGATGGCTGCTTGCGTTGTGGCCGAAACGTCGTGAGAATTATTTTATTATGTTTTATTTTTATTATTTTATTACTTCCCTTTTACGTGACTTTACCGAAAGAACCAAGAAGATGCACTTGCTTGCTTGCTTGCGTGCTTACGACCGTGCAAATCTTTCGGTCGTTTTTAACCCACTTCCCGTGATCCAATCGAGCTGACATTTTGCACACAGACACGTTGTGCGTGACAATTAATGTTCGTGAAATTTTTTTTCCTAAATTGTACACTTTTTAGGACAAAAATATTATATTTAATTACCAATTGCTTAATGGTGGCATGCAATCATCTGACCCATAGGTGACAGCCATCTCAAGCCAGAGGACGAGAGGACTCTAGCCGCCACGCATATAAAGGATTTATAGTGATAAACTTTGTTTTTACGGGTTATACTTGTTTATCAACTCGCTCCATATTCTTCATACAGTTTAAAATTGACCCGCTTGCTTTATAACCATAACATCAAAGACAACGATCCCCCGTATAGCCTTAACAGACTGTAGGGGCAAGTGCTGTTAGCAAGCACCTATGAAGGCCGGCACGGTTTACGAGGGGTGGGTGGCCAGCACCACGCCCAACCGCCTTTGTCTCCCTATTGGAAATGTTTACACACCGCAGCAGGTACTTATTTTAGGCCGAGTCGACCCTAGGAAAGGCCCAGGACTGGTTAAAATAATCGTCACTGGTGTTGGCTGTGAGCGGGAATCGAACTCGGGTCGCAGGAATTCATAGAGCCACCGCTCCCTACGCAAAGACACGCTCTCATACACATCGGCACGCACATCCACCGAGAGCAGCGATTCCGAGCATACGGGCACGATAAGCAAACACACACAGACAAAACACTCGTTCGACCACGTTGATTGATGGTGGGTGGGGGTTGGATTTCAACAACTCAACAAACAGCATTCCTTCTTTGACTTAGAGCGTATCTGGCTAAGGTGAGGGATCCAAGGTAAAATAAGCTCAACATTGCCACGACACAGTCTTGGTGTGCAGTGACGGGGGAGGGGGGGGGGTGTTCTGGTCTCGTGGTGAGTATGGAAGATATTGGATGCACGTCGTGTTGACAGCTAAATAAGTTAGCCAGGCTAGAAAATGTTCGTAAATGTGCATATTTAGCTGTGTTTCTGGCGAGTAATTATGTTGAGTGATGCCAGGTTGTTGGGTTGAGTGCTGCCAGGTTGTTGGGTTGTGTGATGACAGGTTGTTGGGTTATGTGGTGCCAGGTTGTTGGGTTGTGTGATGCCAGGTTGTTGGGTTGTGTGTTGCCAGGTTTTGGGTTGTGTGATGCCAGGTTGTTGGATTGTGTGATGCCAGGTTGTTGGGTTGTGTGATGCCAGGTTGTTGGATTGTGTGATGCCAGGCTGTTGGATTGTGTGATGCCAGGTTGTTGGGTTGTGTGTTGCCAGGTTATTGGGTTGTGTGATGCCAGGTTGTTGGGTTGTGTGATGCCAGGTTGTTGGGTTGTGTGATTCCAGGTTGTTGGGTTGTGTGATTCCAGGTTGTTGGGTTGTGTGTTGCCAGGTTGTTAGGTTGAGTGTTGCCAGGTTGTTGGGTTGTGTGGTGCCAGGTTGTTGGGTTTTGATGCCAGGTTGTTGGGTTGTGTGATGCCAGGTTGTTGGGTTTTGTGATGCCAGGTTGTTGGGTTGTGTCATGCCAGGTTGTTGGGTTGAGTGTTGGTAAATTGTTGGTTTGCGTGATGCCAGGTTGTTAGGTTGAGTGTTGCCAAGTTGTTGGGTTGTGTGGTGCCAGGTTGTTGGGTTGAGTGTTGGTAAATTGTTGGGTTGTGTGATGCCAGGTTGTTAGGTTGAGTGTTGCCAGGTTGTTGGATTGAGTGTTGCCAGGTTGTTGGGTTGTGATGCCAGGTTGTTGGGTTGAGTGTTGCCAGGTTGTTGGGTTTTGTGATGCCAGGTTGTTGGGTTGAGTGTTGCCAGGTTGTTGGGTTGTGTGGTGCCAGGTTGTTAGGTTGAGTGTTGCCCCGTGTGCTCTTAATAAATAAGAAGCCTTCTACTCGACATGTCTCGGAAATCGCTCACTATACATGCATTGAGATTATTTAGATGATTTCGCTGCTATACATTTCCACATGATAAGCCGCATCGTTGAGCTATCAGTGGGCCTTGCTTGGTAATATAAAACAAGTTGTTTATAGGTTAGGTTTTTTTTGTACGGCCAGCTCACATGCAAAAAAAACAACGGTAATTCCGCCATAGCTGATTTATCACGGCTCACAGAACTCACCACAGGGCCGAATGGGTGGCCAGTGGGGGGAGTGGGTGAAGGTGGTCAGGGTGGGGGTGGCGGTGGGTGGCCAATGGGGGGTGGGGTTATGGTGGGGGGGGTGACTGGTGGTAGGTGAGGGTGGGGGGGTGACCAGTCGGGGAGGGGGCTAGTGGGTGGCCAATGGGGGCTAGTGGGGGTGGCGGCTAGCCGGTGGCCGGTGGGTGTAAGTGGGTGGCCAATGGTGGGTGGAGGCTAGTGGGGGGTGGGGCTAGCAGGTGGTCGGTGGGGGTTAGTGGGTGGCAACTGGGGGGTGCGGGTAGTAGGTAGCGTGTGGCCAGGTGGGGGTTAAGGCCGCTTGGGGGAATGGGGAGTGGGCCACTGCATAATCTTGATCTTGAACATTTGTAAATGATGATTATACAGAAGATGACGAGAAGGAAAACTAAGGAAAGAGACACCACGGCTGCAGTAGTGACTCGACTGTGGAGGGTCGGCTGCGACGCTGAAGCCTCAGGTGCAGACGAGGTGTGGAAGAGAAGCCTTGGCACGCTTTTCATCTGAGATTGAGAAGCGTCGCTGGGCTCTGAAAGACAAAACAAAAATCAGGAACGCAAATTAATCCAAACGAGGCTCTCTGCATTTTGCACACAGAATGGCAATATCATGTGCCATAGAAGCAGAACCGGATTAAACAACGGGCTAATAAGGCCTTAGGCCCTCATATTTTGGAGGCCCTCCTTATAGGCCCTCCTCCATTCCACATTGAAGTAACAGCTGAGCGATGGGTAGCATTGCCAGCAGAAATGGTTTGTCTTTGAATAACGATGATATAATTCGTGACTTTGAATTACGATAACATAATTCGTGACTTTGAATTACGATGACATAATTCGTGACCTTGAATCATGATGACATCATTCGTGACCTTGACGTATGATGGAGTGCAGTGAGTGCTTTAATCTTTAATGACTTCCCTTGAGTCGAATTTATGTGTTAATTTACATCGAAATCAAGTATGTTTGAAAATTGTTATTTTTTGCAATATATACTCAACATAATTAGGCACTTACCTCCCATTAGACCTAGGCCCCTTATAACCTTAATCCGGCCCTGCATGTAAAGCATAACAGAAGAACTGGTCCTATAGTCACAATTGCACTTATTGCTGTCTACAAGTGACCTGTTGCGACTCGAGTAAACCAGAATTAGGGTTAAACATCCGACCGGAACACTGTGGACTCATTGACCTGGACAATCATCATAATTAGTGCTGGTCATGTACGGAATATTTGAGAGGTTCTTTCCAACACTGGTTCATGTTAGACGCTATCCTCCGAACAGTGTTACAATAATTCGTAATCATATTCACCATTGAATTAAACAAATATAGTTTATAGTCTCATTAATGCAAACTACATCTCACAATATCGCTGATGCAAACATTTCCACAAACCACCCTGCTGCTCCCCACCCCTGGTGACACGACACATTCACTTCTCTAACTAAATACCACTCATACTACAACACGATTCGTAAAATAACACATGTTTAAACGCAGCTATAAGGTTTTGTTATAGCATTGGCATTTACTGTTACTAATATTGTTATGTTACCAGGTAAGGCCCAAATAAGCAGTGTTGCTCTTTTTCAGAAGCGACCTGGCCATCACAAATGATAGCTCAACGAAGTTGCTTATCAAGTGGAAATTTGCAGCAGTCAAATACACGAAATAGAGTAGTTTAATGAAGGTAATTTACCTAAATTCATTTTAAAATTAAATATCAGTAAAATATCAATTAATATCCAAAACAAAATGTGTCAATTTTGTCATGTTTCCAGATAAACTTGCAATTGCAGTTTTGAGTCTATAGATGGTGTTGATATTCTTAGGTTTTTTCGGTAAAGTCACGTAGGTAAAACATCAAAATTAATAAAAATAAAATAAAATAAAAATCACGACGTTTCGGAGGCAACACAAGTCTCCGTCATCAGGTGGGACCGTCACAGCCAGATTAGCTGCATCAAGTGAGGCAATGATTCAAGATGTAATCCCTTAAAAGCAAGTTGAGGGGGGAGGAGAGGGGGGGAGCTCATCAGAATGTGGTAGCCAATGAATGGAACGTATCGGGAGGGAGGGAGGGGGGCGGGGCTCAAAGACGGCACGGAGTGCCACGTACAACGCATCGGGAGGGGGAGGGGGGTGGGGCCAAAAGGATGGACGACGGCGTGGATGCGGTTGTGCGCAAGCAACTACTGCTGCACACGCCAACGCATTGGACAGAGAGGGGGAGGGGAGGCCTGATACACATGATAGAAAAGAACGAAAATGCCCATGTTTATACCAATGCTGGCTGAACAATGAAGAGAGTACTGTTAAACACTGGGGATGTTAACACTCGGTAAAGTAAAGTAAAATAGTGCCTGTCAGATAAGATGGTCCAAAAAAGTGTAATTAAGTCTTTTTTGCGTGGTTGATAACATCTTTCCAATGATTACTAAGTTTGTACCCATCATCACGGTTGAAATTATGTCTGTGTTTGTATATTTGTATGGCTTCGTGTACAAACCTTTGATGGTAGCCAGGAGGTTTGCAGAGAACCTTGGTCTCGGAAAAGACAATTTCATGAGAGCCCACCGAGTTGTAGCAATGATCGGCAACGGCCGAAGAATCAGTTCTGCCGTGTTTCAGATCTGACTTGTGCTCGCGGACACGATCAGAAACATGACGTTTCGTTTCTCCAATGTAGCAATCACCACAAATGCAACTCAATTTGTAGACTCCAGGATACTGTAAGTCAGGAACGACATCCTTCACAGATGGAATCAGATCACGGATTTTATGCACTGTACTGAATCGGACTTGGATCTTATGTTTGTTTAGAACATAAGATCCAAGTCCGATTCAGTACAGTGCTCGCGGACACGATCAGAAACATGACGTTTCGTTTCTCCAATGTAGCAATCACCACAAATGCAACTCAATTTGTAGACTCCAGGATACTGTAAGTCAGGAACGACATCCTTCACAGATGGAATCAGATCACGGATTTTATGCACTGTACTGAATCGGACTTGGATCTTATGTTCTAAACAAACATAATTTCAACCGTGATGATGGGTACAAACTTAGTAATCATTGGACAGATGTTATCAACCACGCAAAAAAGACTTAATTACACTTTTTTAGACCATCTTATCTGACAGGCACTATTTTACTTTACTTTACCGAGTGTTAACATCCCCAGTGTTTAACAGTACTCTCTTCATTGTTCAGCCAGCATTGGTATAAACATGGGCATTTTCGTTCTTTTCTATCATGTGTATCAGGCCTCCCCTCCCCCTCTCTGTCCAATGCGTTGGCGTGTGCAGCAGTAGTTGCTTGCGCACAACCGCGTCCACGCCGTCGTCCATCCTTTTGGCCCCGCCCCCCTCCCCCTCCCGATGCGTTGTACGTGGCACTCCGTGCCGTCTTTGAGCCCCGCCTCCCTCCCTCCCGATACGTTCCATTCATTGGCTACCACATTCTGATGAGCTCCCCCCCTCTCCTCCCCCCTCAACTTGCTTTTAAGGGATTACATCTTGAATCATTGCCTCACTTGATGCAGCTAATCTGGCTGTGACGGTCCCACCTGATGACGGAGACTTGTGTTGCCTCCGAAACGTCGTGATTTTTATTTTATTTTATTTTTATTAATTTTGATGTTTTACCTACGTGACTTTACCGAAAAAACCTAAGAATATGAATCCTTGCAGTCACGAAAGCTTCAAATCTAGATGGTGTTGAGTCTATGGTGCAGTGTTAAGTCTATGGGCAGTGTTGAGGCTATGGATCAGTGTTGAATCTATCGGCAGTTTTACGTCTATGGGAGGTGTTAAGTCTAGGGGGAGTCAGAATTTAAATCTGTATTTTATACAGGAGGAGGAATTCGATTAGCTATAAAGCTCTTTTTCACATATATCAAGTAAGGGCGAGTCAGCAAGTTACAAAAAAAATCCCAAAACACGATAGGAGTGCAAAATATATAAAGGTAAGAAAGCCACTAAAAGTAAATAAACAACTATAAATAAAGTATGTATGTATAAATTCCATAAGGATATATCCTTGTTGATTTTTCAACACCAAATTCAAGCTTGGGGCAAGGCAGCAAAACAAAAACAACAAGAACAACAGTTTCAGACCACACCAAACCAACACATAATCCTTTAATTAAATGGGGCATTCATAATAAAGGTTTCAAATTGTAAATGTTGTGGGTTTACTCTCCAACACACCGGTGTGCTGAAGTAGTAACTAATTGGTATGTTTTATTTACGTGTCAAACCTTACTTATTGGCTGAAAGGTTTGTAAGGTTTGGTAGTGAGTTAACGACACATTTACATTCACGCGATCTAACCAAATACCTTTCTTATGAATATTGGTCGCAAAAGCCTGCTACGTGTTAAATTAAATGGCACACTAACTTTGAACCTCATCGGCGATTCATGGGGGGTTAGGATGAACGTTACAATTGAGAGGTTATGATGGTATTACTCGCTCCGGGTGTAACTCATCTCTGTGTCTCACCAGCTGAATTCGATAGTGGGCAGGTCTTTGAATCGCCGTTTGGCGTCTCCACCTTCACAGTGTAGGGCCCGGTCTCGTTTCCGTCTTGCAAGATCAGGCCCCGAGGCACTTCCCAGTCAATTACGTCCAGTTGGAGACTATCTGTCACTGACGAACAGGTGTTTTGGCCCACCGTAAAGCAGCTTGCCTAGATGAAACAAAAACGCAATAGGATTACTCATAGACCAATACTAACACAGACTCACACGGAAACCTGTAATCCCTTCTCCTGTAACCAAGTAGTTGAGTTCCTGAAGAACACTGTGTTATGGGATAACTCGCGTTATAATAAATTATATTAAGTAAAGCACAGTCCAAGATAACATGTGAGATTCGTACGTAGGCTGAACAAAGTCTGAGGCGCGTGGGTAGCATATATAAGGGTAATGCCAGTAGAGTCAACCTACAGTGCGAGTAGACTAGTGGCACTGGATATAATGACAGGGGAGTCAGCCTGCAGTGCGAGTGGACTGGTGGCCACGGGAATGATCGAGAATAGGTGCGTGGCCAGGTGATGTAAGAGGACAGTGGAGTAAGCCGATAGAACGAGTGGTCTAGAGCCAGCGAGAAGGTTAGGGAATAGGGGTGTGGGCACGGGGCGGGCGCGTGGCCACGCACTATATATAAGGGGAATGCGCGGGAGACTCAAGGCTGTGCAGTAGGGTCTCCGCCTGTCCGAGGGTGAGCAGGTGACTCCTTCATAAAGAAAACTTTCCGAGGACAAGTGCATTGAAGTCGTCTTTACATAAGCATCCAGCAGTTTCCCGCCTTGTGCGATGCTAGGCCGAGGCAGCCATACTCCCGCGACGTAATTCTGTTCACTTGATCGCGTTATATCCAATTCACGTTATGAAAACATGCGGCGTTATTTTAAAACAGACTATATATCCATGTTGGTGATATTAACAACATGGTAAGTCCTTCCTTAATGTGTGGTGTTCACACTATAGCGCGTTTTCGCTATAATGCATTTATTCCATTAGGAGCAATTTTCATACAACGCGGAACGTAATCTGTGTTAATGCGGTACCATCACCGTGAACACACGGAATGCTCCGCGTTATAATGCTAAACGTGCTCTGTTATAACGATGACAGCCCATTCTATCATAATGCGGAATGCCCCTACTGTTAAAATGCAGAAATCGCCCCATTATTACGCAGAATGCGCACAGTTATAATGCAGAATGTACCCAATATAACTCGGTTTATGAGTGGCTGCAGAGTATAATGATACAGTAATGTGAAACGATACAGTAACGCAGTGTCGGCGTAATGCTCAGTTATTCCCGCCATCTTACTGTGTGCGTAGTACATCACATCTCGCCAAACTGTATCGTTACTAAATTACTTATGGGGAAATTGTTTTCGCAACATTTTTCGCCTAGCACGACACTTCATGAATGCATCTATCGCGTTAAACGAGGACCTACTGTACTCACTGGGTCTAACAGCTTTGTGAGTTCATACAGCGTGCTCCAGAGGCGTAGCTAGGATATTTTGCGCCCGGGGACGAACTATAAAATTGGCGCCCCCCACCCCCCCCCCCCCCGTTTAATCACATTTTCCTAATACATCGAATAAGGAATAACAATAAAAATTTTAATGAAACATTGTATTTAAAGAAGCAAATTTATAGAAATTATATTACATGGCTCACTCAGTCACTGTTGTAGACTGGTTGACATAGTCTACAAAAGATTATTTTTTCTTGATTTGATTGTCGCAAACTGGTCAATCACGTAATCAAAATCTGTTTTTCCCAATGTTTCTCTTTTAACGCTAAGAAGAGCAAGATCGCTGAGACGATCTTGTCCCATTGAAGCACGCAAATACGATCAAATAAGTTTCAATTTTTTTGGTTCATTCGGTAAAGTCACGTAGAAGGGAAGTAATAAAATAATAAAAATAAAACATAATAAAACAATTCATTCAGATGCTGTCGCCTCGACAGACCTGGTTTTCACCCGAGGACGGCTGCTTGCGTTGTGGCCGAAACGTCGTGAGAATTGTTTTATTGTTTTATTTTTAATATTTTATTACTTCCCTTCTACGTGACTTTACCGAAAGAACCAAGAAGATGAATCCCTGCAGTCACGAAAGCTTTAAATCGAAATTTAAGTTTCAATTTGCTGAACGACCGCTCACAGCTTGCAATTGAAACTGCTATTGTTAATACAATTTGCATTGAAATTCGCAAATTCGGAAATATGTTGTCTCCATAAAACACAATTAAACCAAGATGATCCAAAGGAGTTTCTGGTAGAACTTAATTCCGGTTACTGAGCAGCATTTTGCAATCTCCAATTTCTGTGAAAAGTTCGTGGCCATTGATGTCGGTGTCATAGAAATTTCCAAAATCTGTGCAATTTCGACGAATTGCATCGACATCTGTGTCGGATAGAAGAGTTTTGACGTCCAGCAGAAATCCAAATTTTGTGTTCAGGTCTTTTAGTCGTAAAAACCGTGTTGATAAAATACGCTCTTCATAACGCACACAATTTCTTCTTCTCCTGAAAGTCATGCAACTCTTGCCAGTTCTCCTGGCATCTTCCGACGTCGCCTAATTATTCTGTCCACATCGATCCCCCAGGCTGTGCATCTTGTTTTGGCGTTTTCTACAGCAACTTGGCTCAAATCATCACGAAGCTTGACAAATTCATGCTCCAAAGATTCAAGATCAGTTGCTGCTTCCTTGAAATTCATAGTAGGATCCTGTAAGCGCTTCTGAACACGATACATTTTTCCAAGAATGACATTCCAGAAATGTAATAAAACTATGAAGTTAAAATTTAATACGCATGCAAGTAACTGCATCACTTCTGGTTTCAGGTGTCATAGTTACGTCCTCTGATAATTTGTCTAGCAGCCCTACTAGTTCATCCAGTCCTTCATAGATAGCTTTAACAGCTTCTGACCGTGCACTCCAGCGTGTTTCAGAGTCCCGCTTTACTGTGATGGGCACAGCTTTTTTAAACTCTTCCCAACGAATTGTTGAACGAGAGAAAAACAAATATATACGTTCAACTGTTACAAAAAATGTGAAGACAAGTGGATCCTGTTTAGCTGAGTGTACTCCTGCTAAGTTTAAGCTGTGGTTGTCACAGTTGACAAACAATGCTCTGTGATTTTTGTCACATATTCGTTGTTGAAGGCCGGATATATGCCCAGTCATCACAGCAGCATCGTCAAACCATTGTGCTGCTAAATGAAGGCCACGCTATGTTGACGTGCGTGGGCTGCTCCGGCTGCTGCAGCCGCCTGGAGCGTGGTGTCACTAATAAGAACAAAAAATAGGCCGTCGTAGTTTCCGCCACCAAAAAACAGGCCAGTGACTAAGGCTGAAAGACTGCGCCTGTCTGTTGTTTGGGACGTTCTTCCATGTAAATTCTTAATAGGCGCGCGTACAAAAATGTAATTACATGACATGTAGGCTGTGTGTGGCGGGATATAAAAACTTTTAGGTTGAGGTGTAATTTTGTGCAGTAGTTTCAGGCTGCCGCGCCCGCCGCAATAAGTTATAATGTAACGTTGTAAGCCTCATTTTGGCGCCCCTTTACCTTGGCGCCCGGGGACATATGTACCCCCCTGCCCCCCCCTAGCTACGCCTCTGGGACTCGACCCGGTGCCGCTGACGACGCCACCACAGGCAGCTCCCAACACAAGCGAGTGCAACACTCCCTTAGGGGCCGTCCATAAATGACGTCACGCACCTAGGGGGGGGAGGGGGTCAGACATTTGTGACAATGTGTGACGAGAGGGGGGGGTTGAGAAATGTGACGTCACATCAAAATGCGCAACTTTAAATATAGACAACACGTTCTACTTAATTAAACACATTCCTGCGGAGGGAGCTGGTAGGAACGTTGGGTTGCTCGGTCAATGACCAGGGTCAACGGCGGCGTGGTGTATTCCGCAAATATGGCCGACTGTGAGGGCGGGCACAATCCGGCGTGAGTAGGTTAAACGGTGCGTTTTATAAGGGCACCACGGGGTGACCAGCCCCTCCCCACCCAGCCCCACCTCTCCCACCCACCCACCCCCCACCCAACCCCACCCAGCCCCTCCCCACCCTCCCCACCCAGCCCCTCCCCGCCCTCCCCACCCAGCCCCTCCCCACCCAGCCCCTCCCCACCCAGCCCCTCCCCTCCCCACCCAGCCCCTCTCCACCCTCCCCTCCCTCCCCACCCAGCCCCTCCCTTCACGACGGACGGACGGACACAATAATCCCATGTGGGCTGGTGTAACCAGGAGGTTCCTACCAGTAATATACTTTTTTAATGTTTTCTCTTACAACATAATAGTGCAGCGCCACATTAAATACGCACTACAATGACAATAGTTTAAAGCTATTTGAAGCATGTTTTATTCTTTTTGGGGGGGGGGGGGAAGAGCCTTGTGACGTCATATTTGAGGGGGGGTCTGACTTTTTGTGACGCCGTGTGACAAGGGGGAGGGGGTCAAAAATCGTCCAAAATCGCTTGACGTCATTTATGGACGGCCCCTTAGCTCTGAGTTAAGATTTCCACTTTACGTGCTGTATGCAACTGGTGTATCCGCCCATAGTTGACCTGACACACTGTGATCCAATTGTATTTGAATGCTCAAAACATTTCAATGCTCAATGCTTTTGTAATGGGTTCAATTTAGGCGCACACACTTCTTGGGAGGCAACACTCATTTATTAATTAACACAACGTTTACTCAACAGTTACTCTTACTCTACACATAGGGTGGTGACCACCGACCTACACTAGCTAACACACAATTGTATTTTAGTCTCTCTCCAGCGTGACCCAGCCAGGTGGCTGCTGGCAGTCCGCTCACTGTAGGTCTTCTCTTCTGGCATCTTCACGAGGTGTCTTCATTCTTCTCAGGAACAGCCCTGCTCTGCCTTCACACCACCCTTATATCTCGTCTCTCTCTGGCGTGGCCGGCTCCGCCCAGGCCACGCCTCCCTTCCCAGGCCACGCCTCACTTCCCAGGCCACGCCTCACTTCCCCCACCTCTGGGAAGGTCCGGATCCCTCCAGCACGTGACCCCCCAGGCACCCCCTTGGGGCCCCCAGCCCTCGTACGGGCCAACACAGTAGTGACCGTTCTGTCACTACATCACCCCCTCCTGTATAAACACACAGCCGTCCCCGGCT